GAGCCGGTCCCTCGAGCAGCAGCTGAGGCGGATGGCGGTGCCGGAACAGAGGAGCGGATCCATACAGTGAAAGTTGTAAAAACAGAAACTGAGGGATTGTCAAACGACCGTGTGAACGAAGGTAGAGCGCCAGCGGAAAGTGTAGATAATATCGATAGTTATAGTGACGTGCTAAGAAGGGGTTTGCGCTGCAGGCGTGCGCAACTCTTCGGCGCTCCCATCCCCCATTAGTTAAACTGTAGTTAGATGTGTTCTTTAGGAACAGGGGGGAATGTGTCTCTCTGTTTGTTCACATAGTTTGTATTCTAGCCTTGTCGCGTAGGGTCGGCGTCGGGTCATAAGTGGTCATAAATGGAGGTCTATGGCCACACATGTGCGCGGCAGCAGGGACACGCCGGCCCGTATATCGGGCGGCCCGGCTGGACATTGGGAGACGGGCGGGCAGTGGAGAGCAGGGCGGCAGAGAGAGAGGACGGGTCGGTGTGCGCGTTGAGATGTCTGAAGGGTGAAGAAATACAGTCTACGATAGACGCAAAGTTTGAATGCCACACAGCGGGAAATGTGAGACAGGAGGGGAGGGTTGACCTTCCGTCCCCCGGCGGCACCGGTCAAGTCACGACCCGACCCCGCCCTCGGGGTGGACACGGACTGTATAAATGGTCGGACAGCGGGCAGCAGGGGCACAGTCAACATCGACCAGTCACCGAGCAACACAACATGATCAAAGTAAGTAAGAAGCACCTAAACAGCCCTCTCACAACACATTTAAGTCGAATAAGTAATTCAGCCTAGCCCGGCAGGCGGTGGGCCTACCAGCCACCTTCCGCGCGGTGGGGGGGGGGCATTTTTTTGCCCCCCGTATCTCCGAAACTACTGAACGGATCCGGAAAATTCAAACGGCGTTCGATAGCCCTGTCAAATTTGTCGAAGGAAACCAAACTTCATTGACCTCGGGGTCACCGATGACGTCACAGGTCAGATCAAAGATAAAATGTTTCACCGTTCACGGGGCTTCTAGGGAAAGCGCTATAACACCGAGTAAAACGCATTTTATCGAAAATCAGCGATAAGGCGTCAGTTGTCTAGTACATATGTTGCTATTAGATGTCACTGGTCATACCAGGTCAGGTCACAGGTCAGGTCACCAAAGGTCACCAAGGGTCACCACATCAGCCCGACTTCACTAAGGTTATGCGATGCATGTTTTATGGCCAGTTTTTCATTTCCAACTCAATGGTGTTGGTTATAAGACCATCAGGTACGGTTTAGGTCACTTTCTGGTGGAGGTCAGGTCAAGGTCAGGTCAAAAAAGGTCAAATTTCAAAGTTGATTTTTTGCATAAAATGGGTATTGATTCGATGCAGCTCGTCACGAGGAGTCTAATGGTGGTCTTTGTTTTGCACTACGAGGTCTAGAATTGCTAAAAATTAAGTTTGAAAATTTGACGTCATCAATTTTGAGCAGTTTTGTCGCTATAACTTGGCCAAAAAAGAGGTATCGATCTCAAATTTGGTATGTAGATCGAAGGCGGTAGGGACTATCACATATATTCCGGTTTTTTTCGAAATTCCAAAAACTTTTTGGATTTTTTTGGCTATTATATTCAACAAATCTATTTTTTGATTTTTGGGGGTCAAAATCCAGCAAATTCGAAAAACCGAAATAGCAGTTTTGTAGCCCGTTTGATTCCACACCTTTAATGTTGAAACATTTTTCTGTATCTCTAAAGCTGTAGGCCTGACAGCTCTTCCCGCGAAACCTTTTTTTTTTGGGTCGAAAGTGGCAAAAATGACGTCACTCTGACGTCATTATCGGCCAACCTATCATAGCCTTTGGAAAAATGTTTGGTCACAATGTGCGCTAGCTGCTCCCGGGAGGGTACTGAACTACTGAAAGTTTGGTGACGATCGGCGCAGCGGTTCTCGAGATATATTGAAAAAACTAAAGGGGGGCAAAAAAATGCCCCCCCTCCACCGCCTGGAAGGCTAGATATGTGTGTATTCTCGATAAAAAAGAAAACTGAGAACAATGCTTGTTTCGAAAAAGATGTGTCATCTTATGGAAACACAACTCATTTGATTTTCGTTCATGGCAATGTCTCATCCTAATTTGTTTTCAGTTTGTCGTTTTCACCCTGTGTATGGGCGCCGCGGCTGCCGGCGGTGGATATGGTGGTGGATATGGCGCCCAGAGCCACGTCAGCGTCCAACAGTATGTAAACTAAAATAGTGAACAAATGATACAAATCAATGCAACTTTTAACATTGCGGTAAATACAATCGGATCACTTGAATCGCATCACTACAAAAAAACTTGAATCGTTCGTGACCTAAATTCCGCGTAAAAATAGGTTCCCGGCTAGGCAATTCAAGTAACTTTACTAAATTTATCTTCAATTTAATTTATTGCCAATCATTGAGAGCTAGTTAAGTGCCACACGTGATTTTCAATCGTCTTACACATGCACCTTTTTCAGGTACAATCCCTGGGGCAGCAGCAAATACGGAGTTCATCAGACTCACGCCACTTATGCGTACGTATATAAATTTACCAATTGGGAGGTAATTGCAGCTAATTTGTTTTCTGGTTCTTTTCAATAAAATATATCTAACTTTTCATCGTGATGAAAAATAACCGGTGGTAATGATGCTTAGACTGATGTTCAGTGATTTTATCAAGCGAAATCCGATGGAAATGTGTAGGCACACGAATAACCAGAATTTATTTTTGTTTCGACAGCGGCCATGGCGGTGGATACGGCGGATACGGAGGATACGGAAAATTTGTCGGAGGACACGCCAAAATCTACGCTCAGGCCCAGGGATCTGGTGGATATGGACACGGCGGATACGGCGGTGGACACAGCGGATACGGCGGTGGACACGGCGGATACGGCGGTGGATATTCCTACGGATACAGCGCTGATGTTGGACACGGTGGATACGGTGGATCCGGCCATGGATCAGGATATGGTCATTGATTGTCGTTTATTTACTTACATATATATGATGCTCATGAGTGTTGGATGTCGGAGTGATATGTATGTACTTCTCCCGTCACATCGCGTATTGAGAACATGTGGCTGTCTTTGTATGTACTTACATGAATAAATGGAAATGGCAGTACAGTTATCATTGAATGCCGTGTGTCCCAGTCAATCTAAAAGTTATATGAAGCCAAGCGCTTGGTGCGACAGTGTAGTTGCTCCTCGTTGAGTTCTCTGGCCAGCGTCACAGATGGTGTCGAGAGCGATCACTGTATCAGAACACTCAGTGAGTGCACCTCGGCGTCTCCGACCCACATCAGACTCCGCATCCGACTGACGCTTCCCCGCGGCGGCCGACCCAGCGCCGGGTCACGGCCGCCCCGAGGCAGCCAATCAGCGACCGACAACGAGCACCGCCGCAGGCGGCCCACGACCCGGACGCGTATTCCCCGATTATATGACAATTTTGAAAACATCGGCCCAGTTTCAATAGTAGCCACAGAAAGCTGAAACTCTGATTGAGGCTCATGATGAATAAAATTGATATAAGAATAACCAGTAACCTCATAATATAAATCTGAAATAGGAGCCAAAAGTTATATTTAAGATTATCGAATATTTCGCTCCTGGAGCTTCGTCAGCGATAATTACAGAAAAACATATCATAAAAAAACATATGTTTTAACAAAAACATAAAACATATAAAAACATAAAAACATATGTTTTTCTGTAATTATCGCTGACGAAGCTCCAGGAGCGAAATATTCGATAATCTTAAATATAACTTTTGGCTCCTATTTCAGATTTATATTATGAGGTTACTGGTTATTCTTATATCAATTTTAGTAGCCACAGAAAGTACGTTTAGCGAAGTCGTGAATTGACCACATCTGTCTTCTTTCTGTCACAGTTTCGCAGTTTCACAGTCACAGTTTCATCTGTCACAGTTTCATGTGAAAGATACCTTTATGCAAGCAGACAGAGGTGGCAATGGTCACATCATCCCCTTCCCTACCCATCGTGACTGAAAAGTTGGTTAGATTAGACCTGGTGATGGTTGACTTCACCGAAAGTAAATCCGGGATTAGTTAATGACACGTTCTGCAGGTGGGGCATTCCACGATAGATCGTACCAGGCCCGTCACCTTCATCTCTTAGATTTGAATGAAAATTGGTACTAGGGGTACCGCGGCAAAGCCAACCAGCGCGGCGCTGGACAAACAGCGCCGCCACAGAGATGGTTAACAGTCGGGTTAGACCACGAAGCTGGATTAATGAGATAATATTGCACATCATTCGATTCGCAAGGTCTTCCCGAGTCCATTGGTAGCTTTCCCGTCTCTCTAGCTCAATTTGATCGAGAGTTATTGACGAAAAACTCTTATGACCCTAGTGACGTACGAATGACGTCACGCAAGGTCAACAATGCAAACGTGAGGCAAAATTGACTTCAATTGGACGTTCAGTATAACCAGTGATGTCACTAGGCAGCTTTACCACGCCATTTGTAGGCTCTCTTCCCGAAATCACAATTCGAGACCATTACGGTGACGCAAAATAAGTACATTTATAGAAAGAACACCTTCCTAATTTTTTGCATACTACTTAATAATGATCCAAAAATGTTTTTAAGTAAATACAAATTCAAAAAAAAAAATTTGGTCCCAAAGGCATAAAAGAGCAAATGAAAGAAAACTCGATGTGTTATATATCAAAAATAGTTTATATTTCACAATTTTAAAAATGCATACTATTTTTTGTTTCAATGCAAGTTCAATGCCGTATAGCATTTGGCATTTGGATTATCCGTCTTAGAGTTACAGCCCGCCAAACTTGGCGCTGCAGCGCAAGATCCAAAACATGTTATACATTATAACTCAAAAACTACTCATCTGATTAGCCTGAAATTGTCACAGGAGGATTCAGAGTCCCTGATTACCCCTTATACCAATTATCGTTAAAATCCGAGAGATAAGGGTGTCAAATTGGAAAAAAGTGGTGCGATCTATCGTGGAATGCCCCAGGTACGACAGAGCTTAAAAAAGAGATTGAAAAACAATGTATGGATGCTATCGATGGTCATTAATTTGATTGACAAACCTGATCTCATCGATAAGACCGACTTTAAGATGATGGAACATGCAGCACATTTCTATGCAACATTCATCACCATACAGACAGAGGAAGTATTTGCTTAACGACCATACCCGGCATAACCGTCCTGTCCGACATCAGCACTATATTCGTAGGCGTATCGGCCGTATCCACCGTGTCCAGCGTCGTATCCACCGTGCTCATATCCACCAGATCCACCGTGTCCATATCCCTTTCGTCCATATCCGCCAGAACCGTATCCGTCATGGCCACCGATTCCCTGAGCCTGAGCGTAGACCTTGGCCTTCCCTCCAGTGAACGTGCTGTATCCTCCGTATCCGCCGTATCCACCGCCCTGGTTTCCACTGTGATGAAACAAAAGTATCATCAGTATTCAAAGGATACTCCAGCGTTACAAACTACGTTTGGGCTATGTTGAGCCTACTGGTAAAAAAAAACGTGACAAAGCACCCACGCAAAACGTATCATGACATTTTTTAATTCGTATGTAGAATGCTAAAAACAGAGATAGGCGTTCATCAATTGCAAGTTAAAGCTCTAAACAAAAAACAATTTTATTGTCATTTCCCACTACAAAAAGTCATTTTTTTTTAATTTAGTTCGAATGGTTGAATGGATGGATTTGAGGAATCAGAGCCCGCACTAAGCATAGCTTGTTGTGCCGGCTCTGACCCCACCACCCGATCGCGCAATTCCGGTTGTACGGCAGAATTTTGTCCGAACGTTTAACGTGCCCTCACGACTGGACACGGCCCCCTCCGCTCACTCAAGTTACTTGGCTTCTGTGCGGCCCCTGCCACAGACACGCACGTCATTAGACGTAGGAGCTAAATGTGGCCGCCCGCACCGGGGCTTGAACCGGGCCCTCACTACCGGCTAAGCGTCGAATTCCGGCGCTTTAATCCACTCGGCCACGGAGGGGACATATTGAACATTTACATAAGCCATTTGTAACATTCAAACTGATACTTACATTTTGTTGGCATGAGTCTGATGAATTCCGTAATTGCTGCTGCCCCAGGGGTTATATCTGAAACAAGGACAATTCATCGGTAGGCATAACGTGTCATAAATCATAACCACACCCACCAAACCAATGAAATATGGACGGCATTACGATGCAAGGCAATGCATCACATAAATCGGTATATACCACGCTAATGTGGCACATAAAGATGATCTCACTGTTGCACGCTGACGTGACTTTGCAGTCCCTCCAGTGCCCCGCCAGGGATTCCATCGGCAGTCGCGACCATCTGTAACGAAATTCGTTCCTACCCCGTCCTCCACCTCCCTCTGTACCTACTTACTGCCCAGCCCCCTCGCCCACTTACAATATCCTTATATGGTCCTCACTCCTCACCTGCGACGCCTGTCCTAGCCCGCTTCTGATTGGTGCTATGATATGACGTACATCTATATGTATGACGTGTGTGTATGACGTTTCAATATAGCGGCCGACGCCGAACGCCGAGCAGGAGCTGTGAAAGATTCATTCGAAAGCCAACCGCCGTAGCGGCCTGACGTATCGTTATTCAAAGTCTCGGCCGACTGTTTATTACTTTTGGATTCTGTCGTCAAATTTGCAATACATACTTGAAGAAAAGAAAAACCGTGTTGGTTATACGGCTGAAACAAGAGGTCCCCAAACAGACTATCACAGAAGAAGAAATTGTTTATTTACTTTTTACATTTGTTACAAATGGTGCCGTGACCCGGATCAAATAAAAAAAAACTCAAGAATTGAAATTGGTTCCGCAAGAAATTGCTCTACAAGTCTACGAACAGTAAGCTGTCACTCTTTCCTATCTTTTCCCTGAACGTCTTCGCCCACATTTTCGCTTTCGATTGCTCAACTGTTATTGTGCCTGTGTATATTTGTGTTATTTTTGCATTGTGTGACTGTTATCTCAGCATTTCGTGTGTCAACTGAACTGTTTATTTGGCAACGCTCCATAAACACCACTTGTTTGTATTCGCTGATTGATTTATACTTACCAGAGTTTTCAAAATGTCCGAGGCAGTCATCACCAAAGCGCTCCAAAATATTTGTCAGGAACTCCGTATTCAGGGTCTAGCTCAGCACATCCGAACATTCTCCGGGGAGGGTTCCGCCAAATTCGCCCAATGGTTAAACGACATGGATCAGATATCTATTACCTGCGATTCAGAGCGTATGTGTGTTTTGGCGACCATCACTTTAAACGGATCCGCTGGTGCGTACGCTTCACGCATGCTAAAAGAAAACCCCCAAATCACGTGGTCGGAACTCCGACGCAAACTAAAGGAAAGGTATAGCGAAATGACTGATCCGTACCTGGCTTCGGAAAAATGCAGACGTCTAAAACAGAACCGTGGTGAGTCGGTACAAAATTTTGCTGAAAAGCTGCGGACAATGGCATCGGAGGCATTCGAAAATCTCTCTACCCCTGAGGCGCAACGCTTCCTAGTAGAAGTGTTCCAAAAAGGCGTGAGCGACGACAGCTTGGCGCGAAACTTGATCAGGAAAAGATTCACTAACCTCGATGACGCCCTCGCTTTCGCTGAAAGTGAGCAGCAGGCCGACAGGACTTTCCAAGTCTGCCGCCATCACTCCCCTCCTCAGTCCGACGTCGAACCCATGGACTGCAGCGGTATTCAGTCCGCTACAGACTCTGAACTTCGGACCACTATTCAGAATCTAACCTCCCAAGTGCAGCGAATGTCACGCGACATCCAAAAACTGAAACCGCAAAAACGTGCTCAGACCGCCCCACCGCAGGTGCGTTTCAACGTACCTCCGACTACTCCCCCACAGACTTACTTCAACGTTCCCCCGACAGCTCCCCCGCAAGTCCGCTTTGATGTTCCACCCCCGCTGATGTCGTACTATGGCAACGTACAAACTCCCCCTCAAGCCCCTCAGACTCCCAGACCGAACTACCAGTGGACTGAAGATGGATCCCCCATCTGTATCGCTTGTGGCACACCTGGACATGTACGCCGTACGTGCCGACGCAACTCCACCCGTCCTCCTCCCCAAAGTACCCAGGGAAACGCGAACGCGCGTCTCGAAAAATAGCGACCAGAAACGCGCCAAAGAAAGACGGTCCGAAACGGAAAGTTTCTACAAAGAAACCTGGACCGCAAGCAGCACAAATTAAAATTAAACCTGATACGCCGATGTGCTATGTATCTCTGAGCGACCAAAAAGCCTATTCGTTAGTAGATTCAGGAGCGGACATATCCCTTATTTCACGTGAAGCTTTTGATAAAATTCAGTGCAGGAAAATCAAGGGTTTTTCTACGAGGAACTGCGTTCCTATTCGTTCTATCTCTGGTCATAGACTCACAAACTTCGGAACGGCCGTACTACAAGTCAAAATTGCAGGATTTAATCAACCGTTCAAATTCCAAATCGTAGAAGGTCTGAAAAACGACTGTATCCTAGGCAACGACTTTCTCTCCGCATTCGGTGTTCAATTGGATTTTGGACAAAAGACGATGAACCTCAACGGTAACGTCATCCCTCTGCGACCGCAACGTCTGACTTGCCAAACGACGACATCTTTGGTTCGAGTGCCTCACAAAGTTACAATTCCTGCTCAGTCGTATATAGAGATTCCTGCGTTAGTCAACCGTGTTCAATTGCTGGATCAAGATTGCATAGTTCAACCTTTGAGCAATGCACCCGTTCTAGGAGAAGAACCTGGTTTGTGTTTGGTTGAAAGTGTAGGTCGCGTAGACAAAAACAAGCGTATTACAGTCGTGATAGTGAACGCCACTGGTAGGGATTACGTTTTGCCTTCTCGATCAGTCATTGGCATTGCGGAAGTTTTAGAAGACCCGGAAGGATGCATATTTACAGCTAGTGAGGAAGGTGACCAGTGTAGTGAACCGTCAGATGACGTCCCCGAAAGTCAAAAAGCGCGATTGTCACATGTGTCCGAAGGTCAACGTAAAAAGATACAAGATTTCTTGGCCCAAAATGAGGATTTGTTTGCAAAAAGTGATTTGGATTTAGGTTGTACTGATTTAGTGAAAGCAACAATTGAAACTGGTGATCATCCACCAATTAAACAGCGACCTTACCGGTTGCCTTTCAGTCAGAGAAAACTTGTAGAAGAGCATATACAGAAAATGTTGCAGGCTGGCATCATTTCCCCTAGTCGTAGTCCCTGGTCTAGTCCGATTGTGATTGTAGATAAGAAGGACGGACAAAAACGGTTTTGTGTTGATTTGCGTGCTTTGAACAAGATCGTTGTCAAAAATAGTTACCCTCTTCCGCGCATTGACGACATTTTGGCTTCGCTTGAAGGTGCGAAATATTTCACTTCTTTAGATCTCCGCAGTGGGTACTGGCAGATAGCCATGGATCCCGAGTCAAAGGCCAAAACGGCATTCACTTGTTTCATGGGCCAATACGAGTTTGAAAAGTTATGTTTTGGGTATGTCAATGCACCCAGTCTGTTTTCAGAGCTTATGAATAAAGTACTGTGGGGCATTCAACACAAATTTACTATTGCGTATTTGGATGATATTTTGATTTATTCAAAAACCTTTGAGGAACATTTAGAACATATAGATGCAGTCTTTTCACGTTTGAGAGACGCTGGCTTGAAATTGAAGATGTCAAAATGTGAGTTTTTGAAACAAGAAGTAAAATACCTAGGCCATGTAGTTACTCCATCTGGTATCAAACCGGATCCCGAGAAAATAAGTGCAATACAAAATCTCCGTCCTCCGACAAATGTCAAAGGCGTCAGATCATTCCTTGGTATGTGTGGATTCTACAGGCGATTCGTTCCAAATTTTGCAAGGATAGCCAAACCATTGACCGAGCTAACAAAGAAAAATCGTCGTTTTTATTGGGATGATGCATGTCAGTCTTCGTTTGAAACTCTTCGTTCAGCTTTAACAGTTGCACCAATTTTGGCATATCCGAACGTGGATAAGCCGTACAAGTTATATACTGACGCGTCACAAAACGCCATAGGTGCTGCGCTAGTCCAAGAGACTGAATTGGGTGAAAGAGTCATCCAATATTTGTCGCATCAGCTCAACGAAACCCAGCAACGCTGGCCTACTATCGAGCGAGAAGCTTATGCGATTGTATATAGTGTACAAAAGTTCCGTCCCTATTTACTCGGTTGTAAAGTTACGATTATGACGGACCACCAGCCCCTCAAGCACCTGTTCACCAGTGAAATGAAGAATGCTAGGATTCAACGTTGGGCGATTATATTAGATGAGTATGGATGTGATATACAGTATATTAGTGGACGTCAGAATGTAGTTGCCGACGCATTGTCGCGACTGGACACCTCAGGGCCCAATCTTATAAACGCCGTGAAATGGATATGGCAGCACTCTAAGGCTGGATATATAGTACGCAATCTTATAAAACTCTGTGAAATCGAAAACACGGCACGCTCTTTACGGTATTGGTAGCCGCTGGTTTTGGGGATACCGTAAACTGATTTTAACCGTGAGCAGCTGTGCACATCTCAAAACACCGACAATCATCAGCTGTTTGCGGTTTCAGCGGCGTCCATTTCACGCCAGAATTTGTGGCGTACTTTGACGAGCTTCTCAGACAGTTTAATTGATTTAAGATAAATTCCATGTTTTTATGATACAAGTATGCAATATTTTACATTATGATACTTCTAAGATTAAAACAACCTCCACATATTAACTCATGATTTACTATAATGATGCTTAATTATACAGACAACGATCAATTTCAAAATATGTATTTCCAGGAACTAAATGCACACTAAAACACATAAAAACGAGTGTTCATCGTTATATGGCTTTATTTTTCAAATAAAAAGGGGATTTTTAAGAGGATTTTAGCATTAGTAACCGTCTTAGATTTTCGGCAGCCACTGCATTATAGAATCGGTATGGGTCTTTAGCCTATTCTCACGTCTCACGTATGACACAAATAACGGGCACTTCATGGCTTCTGATTAGATATTTAAATTAATGATGATATACCTTAGTTTGTCAAAAGAATTATAAATGCCTACTCACTATTCGTATTTCCTCACTTTCTGTTTGGCACAGTCACTGATCAGTGATCAATCTGTTGTTTCTCTTCCTGCATCTCGATCTGACTTCTGAACCAAGTATTTTTCTTGATATAGCTTTGATATGTAGACTGGGTGCTTCAATCCTTTGATGAATTGCTTTTTAGCTTTAGGCTAGGTAATAGGTACCTATGCTTGAATAAGAAGGAAAATAAGCTGTAACTTGACCTAATTCA